CATAAATGAACCGGGGGAAGGCAATTTTGTAGATTTGAAAATTTCAACAATAAAAAATTTTGAAAAAGAAATCTGTATATCTTGGCATGAAGGCTGAATACGGTATTGTCTATCTATATTTTAGGAATAAATCTGTATATCTTGGCATGAAGTCTGAATACGGTATTGTCTATCCATATTTTAGTAATAAATCTGTATATCTTGGCATGAAGTCTGAATACGGTATTGCCTATCCATATTTTAGAAATAAATCTATCTGTATATCTTAGCATGAAGTCTGAATACGGTATTGTCTATCCATATTTAAGGAATAAATCTGTATACCTTGGCATGAAGTCTGAATACTGTATTGTCTATCCATATTTTATTAATAAATCTGTTTACCTTGGCATGAAGTCTAATTACGGTATTGTCTATCCATAGTTTAGGAATAAATCTGTTTACCATGGCATGAAGTCTAATTACGGTATTGTCTATCCATATTTTAGGAATAAATCTGTTTACCTTGGCATGAAGTCTGAATACTGTATTGTCTATCCATATTTTAGGAAACTTTATGTAATGCAAAAGAGGTCTTACAAGGCTTAGCACGCTTGCAGCACCCATTTTCACACCTCTTCATATTTATCAAAAGGACCATTAGAATACATTTAATGCTTATTTGTTATGAATTTAATTTTGAAATCAAATGGTATCAATCTTTTAGTCATTTGATGTTATCAGAGAAAATTGTAAAAACGTTCGTCTTTTCCCACTTTCCTTTTTCGATAAAAGGAATTAAATATTTGCCACAAACCCTGATTTACTCATTCCTTTATCTTTGTAATCCAATGTGGTACACCTTTGATTAATCATATTTTGATTTATTAGATCAAATAATCTAAGATTTAAATATCATAGGTGTAAACAATCAGATAGTAACGATCTTAGTTTGTGGCAAAGACTCAATTTCCTTTTAATTATTTATAAAAACTAAATTAAAAATTTAAATAAAAATAAATTTTAAATTTCACTTGCTTTAAAAAACGATACTTTTCTTTTGACAAATGTAATAAAGAAAACTATCTAGGAAATTTAATAATATTAAAAAATAGTCGTATTGTCGCTGTTATTAGATATTAAAGCATTACAATTTTTTAAAAATCAATTAAAAAATAGATGAAAAGAAAAGTATATACTGATCGAAGTTGATTTTATTTTGAATTGTGAAATCATGATGATTTTGAATGTGCTAAAAAAATTATTAAAAGTGCTTTAAATAAATGCTGAATCGTAAAAAAACTATAAAGCTTTGATATTTTCTGTGAAATGTTAACTTATATTCTCATCTAGATTGTTAAGTTTTAACATATGACATATGATGCTTTACTCATTTTTGGTTTTTTAGAATTGTTTTCTTTCGGCAGCATTCACTTGACTCAATTATTAATAATTCTGATTAACAATTGTACAATTGTAAAATCAAAAATTGTTATCAGTTAGTAAAAAATCAAATGATTAAGTGAATAAGGTCTGTACACACTGCACAATTGCTGTGTTTCATGCACTGTATAGAAATATTAATCTTTGTCACGCCTAACTTGTCTTGTTATGTGCAAAGTTTATGTGATTAAACACTCTGTAAATAAAGTGCCAAGATAATGATGTAAAGCGAGGGGGGGGGGGGAGACTTTTTAAAGAAAAAAAATTTCCTAAAAAATAAAATATATTTTTTAACAATCCTTATTCAGAAAAAAGAATATTTCTTAAAAGTTTTTTTTCTGTGTCCCATTGGCGTTATCTTTTAGATGTAGATAAAAGAAAAATGTCTAACGTTCGCCGGAAAAGTAAATAAAAAAGAAAGGAATATAGAGCATGAAAGGAATGTAGAGCATGAAAGGAATATAGAGCATGAACGCGATGTAAATTCAAAAATCAAATTTAGTATATAAATTATAAATAGTAATATAAATTATAATCTTATTTTGATTTATCAGTATATTATGACTAATAAACGTATATAAAGATATGTTCTTATCTTACTTTTCCCTTTTTTGTTTAAACTTTGTTTAAAACTTTTCGATTAATAATTTTATATTTCAATTAAATATAATTTTAATTAGAGGGTGCTCTAATTAATTGCATAAATATTGGCAGATTGCAAGGGGAATATAATTGCAATCCTAATTATTGCAAAGTTGAATATTGGAAATGGGGGGAGGGATTGGTAGGAAAGTATGGGAGGGAGGAGGGGGAGGATAGGGGAGGGAGGGGAGAGGGGTAAGGAGGATTATTATGTTTTCAATCAAAACGGAAAAGAATCGAAATAATTGAACTTCATTGCGTAATCGAATATAAATATTGCGTAATCGAATTTAAATAATGCGTTATCGAATAAATTGGCATTTCTCAAATCTAAAGAAATTGGATATATGGTAAATAAAGTATTTTGACTTTTAAATTTTGAAAGATTTTTTTTACGATTAGGCGAAGGACTTAAAGGTCTGAGACCATTTTGAATTCAGCCCTGGTACATTCATACATAAAATCAAGGAGAAAAATAATGAAGTTTTATAAATATGTTTATATTATACAATATCTGAAAAATCAAGGAGAATTGAATAGAAGGAGGGGGCGATAGGGTTTCCGTACACTTTCCTTTGACGTTTTTGGACTGCTGAAGAACTAGTTTTTGCGTAACAACAATAATAAAGGCAGCCTATCTAATGTAAACAAACATGAGTTACGCAAAAACTAGTTCTTCAGCAGTCCAAAAACGTCACAGCAAAGTGTACGGAAACCCTTTCGCCCCCTCAAATAGATTATTAAGTACAATAGGTGGCAACAGAGAAATTAACCAATTATACACGACGTCACAAGTGTCAAATATAACAAGGAAAGCGAAANTAATAATAATAATAATAAGAATTATAATAATAATAATAATAATAATACAGTGATAACTAGTAAACTCCAATGACACACACAACCGATTTACATTTGAATATCCGAGCTGGGCCAACCTTTGCGGTCCTAGTTTGGACTGTACCGCCAATTTATCATTACTAAAGCGACAGAGGAGTGTGATGAATATAGAGCACAGCAATTGTGCAGTGTTAATAGACCCATTTCACTTATTTGATTTAATAACTTAAAAGTAACGCTTTGTAACAACATCTAAATTGCATTTCAATATTGCTTTAATGTCATCTTCGTATTCTACAGTTTTCAGGTTATCCTGTACATTTAACAAAAATGTGCAATCATAACAAAACCTGATTAAGGGAATTCAAACATTAAAGAAAACATTCATCTCATAATCATGTTTTATATTTCCTTTAAGTTAAAAGTAAAGAAATTAAAGAGAACAAAAAACTTATTTGAAAGCTTTGATTTTTTATTAATATCTTAGAATGTACGAGGGCCGATAATAACCAAAGGATTACAAAGTAGCCCCAAAGAAATGCAGGAAATCAAGCGTAAATTTAATCATATTATTTCACTGAAATTCTGGTTGAACAAAATCGGAGAAAAATGACAGATTTGATATTTTTACATTTTCTAAAATTATTCCAAATCGTATGGAACTGTCAACTAGAGAGAAGGATACATTAATGATACAACTTTGTAACTTCGTGGCTCCTCTTATTTTTTTTTATACAAAGTATCAGAAAAGTAAGCTTCTTTGGCTACATTTTAGCCATTCAAAATATTTTTTTGTTTCACAATGGCTCGTCAATGAAAACATTTCTGTTAACTTATGATTGAAAACATAACGGGTTCGCACAAACGATGAGACGGTAAATACGACATAAATATGATCAAGGTACTAATGCAAGGAAAGTTAATTGCGGTCGCGTATACTCTGCGTACACATTGAAACCAGTTCTCTCTGGGCGGAAATTGTAAACAAGAATAGATGCATCAGTGTTCATCTAGTATCCAAGGAAGATAAAAGCATTTAATTTTGATAATTTTGAAAATTCACATTATAGTTTCCTATGGCCAGAATATTTCATAGTTTATTTTTGTGAAAATTTATTCCATGTCAGGCTGTGACATCCGTCTTGTGTTTACCTTTCCCCTCAAAGACAGTACACTACAGTACAAAAAATGCGCACACCTCTGAAAAAAACTTTCCTTGCATTAGTACCTTGAATATAACAATCCAAAGGATAAAATAATTCTTCTGCTCAGAATATAGTATTTTGATTGATTGGACTCAAGTTTCACCCTTTGTTAATGTAATGTCAAAATTACAAAATATTATGTCTAACGATCTGTTCATAAATTAAAATTATGAACAGAATTTTTGGAATTTAAAACTTGTTAATTTTCCCTAACTTTCCGTTAATTATTTCTGAGTACTAATTCGGTATGTTTAAATATAATTACACATGGAATATCTTGCAATATTGTTTTATACATTTATCAAAGAAAAAAAGTTTTTCCTGGGCCTTGTTTTTATAAACAAAACAATTATAATATCCGATATTGAAGAAAACGGTGAAGAAGAAGGTTATAATTACTTGAAAAAAAAGGTAGGATAGCCAGTCTTATAGCAGCAAGAGGTGCGTAAAGTGATTCATTCAATTAACAACCGCAGCTGGAATATTAAAATGAAATAACTTCATGGGAATTACTAATTACTCACCTTATACTTTAATTGTTATAAATCCTATATATTTACTATTTGATTGTGTAAACCATAATTTAAAACTTTGACTATGGGCTCTAGCAAAATTCATAGAGGGGGTACCCCCCCCCCCCCCTCTAGTTTTGTGCCATTGCGCCCTCATGCTTTTTTTGAGCTACAAATTTAAAGTTTAGATTTATAAAAGCTCTGTAAAAAGTGAATGCTTAAATATGTGTCAATGACTTTGTGTTTTACTCTACTAAGATCTTTTTTTTTGGGAGGGAGGGGGGGTTGGGTTGTATGTGGGGCTGTTCAAAAATACCACGATTGCTCCCTGATGACAGTTAAAATATCTAATTTGTTATTTTTAAATTTGTCAGGAAAAATGTCAATTTTGAATTATTGGAAATCTTTAAGTAATGAGAAGGAGAAATCAGATTTCATGGTCACGAAACATATTACAGTTGGTAAGACACAGACGACATTTGGAATTAACATATTACAGTTGGTAAGACACAGACGACATTTGGAATTAACATATTACAGTTGGTAGGACACAGACGACATTTGGAATTAACATATTACAGTTGGTAGGACACAGACGACATTTGGAATTAACATATTACAGTTGGTAGGACACAGACGACATTTGGAATTTCATAATTTTTGTTATAAACCTGTATTTATGACAAAAATAAGCATGATATTCTTGTTTGTCCTGCTGAAAATTGATTATAGCTAATTGTGGTTATTTGTATGCAGAAATAAAATAAGTTAAAGTCAGCACTGAAATTATCGTTTCCAGTGAAAGACACGTTTAGCGAAAAATGTGAAAATTTTCAGTCTCATTTTGCAAACTTTTTCGCGAAATTTTGCATTTTTCCGCGAAATAAATGAAGCGAAAACAAAGCGAATTATCTCCTAGTCGTTCTTAAACCTATATTTATATTTTGTGTTAATCCATCAATTGAGCTCGATAAATCCCTCTTTGAAAAAGAGTCTTGAATTCTCGAAATTAGGTTTTTTTTGATGAATTTTCGCAATTTTTTTGCTAAAATTTTCGTTAAATCTGCTTAATTTCCATTTTATTTGCGAAATTTCGCATTATTTTTTCGTGAAATTTTTGTATTTTTCGCAAGCGAAATGGTCGCGAAGAAAAAAAAGTTTCGCGAATTTTGGCGAAACGATTTTCCCTTTTTGCAGGAAACCCTAACTTAAATATATAGACAACTTTGAAAGTAAGTCATGAAATTCTTAGACAGCCTCGACTTTAAACCAACTCAATTATACTTTTTGGAAAGCCATGACATATCTGTTTTAGAAATGCAACGCGCTTGTTTCTAGTTAAGTTTAAATAGAGTGATTGGCAAAAAACTGCTTGATTTTTGCGTGACAGGGTTCACATCTTGGTTTGCAGTCAGATCAATTAATGTAATAAGAAGTTTCATATTTTGCTGCTTAATGACATCTGATTCCTAAGTCTGCTTAACTGAACCCACGTCCTGACTTCAAAAACCCATGTTCATGCTTTTTTTCATCAAGCAAATACATAAATCTGCAATATAAATACAATAGGGTGTACGTACGTACACATAATTTTCTGTTGTTTAGGATCTGTAGTAGACGTGGATCCAATCCATCTGACGGAGAAGGTAAATATTTATCCAGATTAAGCAAGATATATATGCATCAGTTCGACTTGTACCATTTTCTTTTAATCAAATATCTGATATACATAATCAAGTATTAGTTCATAATTTTCAGTACCATGGCCACACACGTCTGTGGCTTTCTGCTGTTTCTTTCTGTAGTATTTGCTCTGTTGCTTTTTTCATTCATTCATTTTAACCAAAATCGCTATCACTGCTCCATTTGAGATGTTGAATTCTTTAAGTTCACTCTGTGTTTCTAAAGTTTGTCTATATGTTTGAGTTTTGCTGAAAGGCATATTGGATTGCCTGAATCATGGTTATTTCTGATATCTGAACCTTACCAGCTTGGGGTTAAAACCACGTGTACCAGACTGTACTTTCAGGATACTTGGATTGGAGTCTGAATCATTGTTGTGTATCACGGGATTAATCATTGACCTAGCTCTATCTGATGCAGTGTAACGGATTATTTAAATATCTCTTTGATGTCACATGATGGACATACACTGTACTGCAGACTTAGTTTTTACAAGAAAAGGATAATTTATTTGCTTTACTATCCCGTTTTGTCTTACAAAGTCTGTATGTAAACTGTACAGCTTGTTCTATCTGGTTAAAAGCCGGCCCGGTACTTGAAGTTCTGACTTCTGAAATATTTTTAGAAAAATGGAATGCGAATTTACAAATTTGGCGTTCTGAAAGAAATTTTTGACGCATTTTCCAGGTGAGAGCTTATAATAGGAATGATAAAATATTGATGAGAACGCCGCTATTTGCAAATAAATTCATCACATCTTCTTTTCGGGCATATTTGGTAAAAAAAATAATAAAACATCAAGTCACAATATATTCTTAAAGAACTAACTTAAAGAACTCAAAATTTTTGAAAATATTTTACTTTTTATCTGGCCCTTGAAGGTTGCATTATACATCATGATGCGTTTACAAGGTTTTGTTTTCAGTACATATAACTTGAGATACAATATTGTCCCAACCCTTGATGATATTTATGTTTTCAGTACATATAACATGAGATACAATATTGTCCCCACCCTTGATGATAGTTATGTTTTCAGTACATATAACATGAGCTACAATATTATCCCCACCCTTGATGATAGTTATGGTGTGGATGTTGGAAATGGATCATTTTCAGGGGTCATTGGTATGGTTCAGGTAGATCTTAAAATGAGGGATCTCACGTTAGTTAATTTACTATTTTCTTTTTTTCAGAGACAATTTTAGTTTCTAATTTGGTAAAAATTCATGGTTTCGACACAATTTTTAAATATTAAATTATTCAAACCCCGTCCTTAAACAGTATAATAATACGACTGAAAAGAATCATATGATAAGAATAAATCAAATTTGCTAAGTCCATTCTTAGTGATATAACTGTACAAAAAACATGTCGGGATTTTTTAATGGGAAATTCAATCTTTTCTGATGTTTTCGTTTCGAGATTTAAAATCAAAATATTTCCTTCCATTGATTCTATTCAATTTGTATTTTCTGTGAAGACAATGGTTAAAGCGTTAAATCAATTAAATATTGTTTAGTCTGTACACGCACTCTCTAAACTGTAACATCCTAATTAAGCAATACAAAAATCGGCTAATCGGGTGTAAAAGTTGGATGGCACCCAATTAGGTGAAACAAAATCGCTAAACATAAATTGCTTATTGTAAAAAAACATCGCTTATTTTCAACCAAAAAATCGCTTATATTGCAAAAGAAGTTGGTGACTGCTAAAAAGCGACCCAAAATCGCTTATTTTCAACAAAAAATCTACTTTTTGAACATTCTGATTTTATTAGATATGGGACTTCTCGCTACAGCTTTGAGTTTTTAAATTCTTTATCTGTGCAACCTGATGTTTCAATACTTTTAATTTTAAATCTACTTTATGAAAAAAATCTTTATTATGAAAGAAATCTACTTGAACATTCTGATTTTATTCAAATAAGTGACTTCTCGCCACAGCTTTGAGTTTTTTAAATTCTATTTCTGTGCAACTTCATGTTTCAATAATTTTAATTTTAGTTCTTGTTAAGAATTTATAATTTTAATTATAAAAAGTTTAAGACATTAGGTTGCAAATAATATTAGAGTAAATGTTATCAGAAGTGTAACCTTGAGTTTTCTTTTTTAAATCAATTCTTAGAGGAAAGAGATATATGCATTCTAATATAAGAGTAAATATCATCAGAAGTGTAACCTTGAGTTTTCTCTTTTAAATCAACTTAGAGGAAAGAGGTCGATGTTGGGGGAGGGATATTTTCTAGAATGGAAGAACGTCAAAAGGTAAAATTCATAATAAATAAATAAACAAATTTTATTGTAAAAGTTAAATTTTTGGTTTAAACTGTTTAGATTAAAATAAAAAAATATCAATTTTAATGAAGGTTGTCGACTTCAGTGCTGCAATAGGAACAAATCAATAATCTGAAAGAGCTAAATATCAGCGGGGGGGGGGGGGAAGGAAGGACCGGTTGACTACCTCTGCATTTTGAATCCATTTTCACAGGTGAAATTTAAACCTCCCACAAGACCTTCAAAAAACCGATACAATTGTTTACAATTAATTTGTCGGGAAACATAACTACGGGTTTCCTTGACTTGGTAACCCTAGGTAAAGTAATATTCCCTTAACTTCCTTGTAAATTACTTGTAGATAATTAAAATAGAAATATTATGTAATTTTCTTAAAACCCTTATATATGTTCATGTATTCAATAAAACTTCATGAAGCATTCAGGTTTGCTTTGATCGGAGGTAGTTTTTATTCAACTAATTTGTCCTCTCCTGTAATTATAAATATAAAATTGATGCTGGTTAGGAGTTGAAGCTATGAATATCATGTGGGTCAACGTTGATCTGGCAGATACAGGTAGGGTTGTTAATCGTTTTTAAAAACGAGCAAAAAACATTGGTTTTCGTTTCAATTGGACTTTTCTAAACTTTTTAGTTAACGATCGTTAACGAAAGTTCGTCACTCGTCAATGACGATATTAGAGAAAATATCGTCTTTTACGATCATCTCAATTCAAAAATGATATACTTTTGTTGACAAAACGCCGAATCTAAAATATCACTTCGTTTTTTATTTAATCGTGTTTTAATGATGCAAAAAAGATCTTTAAGGATGCAGGGGGGGGGGTGTTATATAGGTCAGAATTTTATTTTTAACTGGGTTAAAAATAGATTTTTAGGGATCCCTAGTAATGTTGTTATTGGTGTGTCCCAAAAAACATGGAAATTAAGTGACAACTTTCATATTTTATGGTTAACCAATGACATCTCTACGTCTATCGTCTTGTCAGCTTCAAAAGGGGCTTAAGTTAAGACTTTTTGATTATATTAAAAATTAAATCTATAATTAGATCATATATCTCAAACACAATTGCCAGTTCAAATCAGACAGACCACATTTTGAAATCCCATGAATAAAGAAATATATGCCTCGAAGAGAGAAGACATCCCACAAATTGTCACTTGAAGGAACCGTTAAATTTCAAGTGACCTCTCAGAGGAACCGTCCCGATTCACAACGGTACCCTTTAAACGTACATTTCACTTAGGGAATAAGCGACTTTTCCCTATCTATCTTAGATTGCAAGTTGTTATTTTTAGGAGTATTATAATATCTTTTTTTGAATTTTTGAAACTCCATTGAACAAAGAATATTCTAGATTTTCCAGGAATAACTGTGACGTCATCCGCGTTGAGTTCGCACAATACGCTAGCGTACAAATCAATTTTACGGCTTTTTATTCAACATTTAGGAGATATATACACTAAGTTCTCTGTTCCTGATGATCAGTCGAAGGTTTACAGGATACCTTTGTGAATTGGGAATGTCACTTGATATTTCGCTCACTGTCCCTTTATATCTATGTTTTATTGTTGTTGTTGTTTAGATTACATCATTGCTCCGTTCACAAACATTGTCTGGTTGTATGTACTCATCGCAGCTTTTCTAATGGGACCTATCATGTATGCATACAAAGATTGCAATTTCTGATACCATATCAGATAAAGGTTTCAATGGTACTGTTGTGAATCGGGCTTTGTCATCTTTTCATTAGAAAGATACTTGGAATTAAACTTTCAGTTTTTAAAGGTAGTGTTCGCGAAAAATAAAAGGGGTTACGTATAGGTTTACGTCGGAATCGATTGGATTCGATGTAGATTGCTACTAAATTTACTTTTACCTGTTGCTTCTATCAAAGTGAATAAATACTAAAGTGGAACAGACTAAGGAAACGACGACAGGTTGGGCCATAAGGTTTTATTTGGTTTGGAAATAATTTCATGAAAAGATTTCGTTTGGAAAGTAAAGACTAGAAAAAATAGACTAAAGACCCATGTAAATGTCGTCTTCAGATAGAACTTCGAAATTTTCACGATTTAAAATCAAAAATTTTTGTACGTTTCTATGTAGTTTATATGTAAATACTATTTAGTCGCTTAATCAATTCATTGATTAATTTGCCTGGCACTTCTAATTCTAAAGGAATTTATCTTTAAAACTGATTAGTTTTGTTTCAAATCTCACTCCATTTTGAAATATGTTTGTAAATTTCTTAAACAGATCTATGTTATCATCCAGAGGCGTATTCAGGGGGGGCTATGGTGGCTCATCCCCTCCTGGATCAGGGGGGGGGGGGTCGGCCTCCCCCCTCCCAAAAAGAAAAAGAAATGTAAGCCCTTAATATCTTTAAAACTATGTCTAGTTCTCAACCACTCTTAAATCTGTCAAAATACAAAAGCGAAGACCAAGAGATATATTTCGAAGATCTTCATTTTTCGGACTAGTGAAATATATTCTTTTCGGGGGAGTTTTGGCCTCCCCCCCCCCCCCTAAAAAGACGAAGAATTGTAAGCCCTTCTTGGGAAAAAAAACCTGAATACGCCTCTCTTAATATCTTTAAAAACTATGTCTATTTCTCAACTCGACTGCTCTCTTATCTCTTTAAAACTATGTCTTATAGTTCTTAACCACTCTTAAATCTGTCAAAATACAAAAGTGGAGACCAAGAGATATATTTCGAAGATCTTCATTTTTCGGTATCACAAATTGTGCATTCCTTGTTTTACAGGCTTGCAGGCATTATTGTGTTGTCTGAAATCATTTATTGTGCAGTAAAATGGCTAAAATTCACTTCTGAAATCTTAATTTACGTTATTTAAGTTAAATACAAATTCTAAGTCTGTGTTTGTAAACAAAGGGAGTCCAGTTTCTGTTGTACTGTACACTCCGTATACAGACCAATTTATATATATATATACATATTTCTAAATACTTGGGACATAAAATGTCGTCATCCAACTATGAGTTTGGTATTTATTCACTTTGGCTTCTATAAGGAGAAAACTGTTAAAAAGAACTTACACCGAAGAGTGTATAATCTACACACGGAGTTGCATTATTCCACTCAGATCGTAAATATATTTCAATTACATTTAAAACTACTCATTCAGATATTACAACCTAAAATTGTCGAATTCAATTCGATGCGTTTGTATAAGAATGTTATTTCCTTATAGTTTTTTATTCTGTTTGTTTAATTAATATTTCTTCTTCGTTATCAAAAATCCTTGAAATTTTAGGAATTGATATTTTCAAAAGTAACATTTGGACCATATAAAAAAATATATTTTGAAATATCAACAGCATACGAATTCAACAATTGTAAGATTTATATCTGAATGAGTAGTTTTATTTAATTGAATTATTTACGATCAGAGTGGAATTTCTATGCACCCTTCACGATTGGGTATATGACGCTTTTAATAATTTTTCCCTTACGCAACAGATATAAGTAAAATTAGCAACGATAATTATCGGATTCAATTGGGAATCAGCCTTTACCCCCTTTCAGTTTTTGCAAACACTCCCTTAAAGAAACAAAATTCGATCATCAACTACTTTAACTACAAAAAGTATGTTTTAGGTATATCATGATCAACTGTTTTGAACGCAATGTTCTTCTTGACACTCCTCCCCAGTATATAGGTAAAAATAATTTGGCCCATTATTATTAGAGCTGGTTGTATTTATAATTTCTAGATTTTTTACATTATTCTGCTCAGAGATATTAACCAAACAATATTCTGCTCAGAGATATTAACCAAACAATATTCTGCTCAGAGATATTAACCAAACAATATTCTGCTCAGAGATATTAACCAAACAATATTCTGCTCAGAGATATTAACCAAACAATATTCTGCTCAGAGATATTAACCAAACAATATTCTGCTCAGAGATATTAACCAAACAATATTCTGCTCAGAGATATTAACCAAACAATATTCTGCTCAGAGATATTAACCAAACAATATTCTGCTCAGAGATATTAACCAAACAATATTCTGCTCAGAGATATTAACCAAACAATATTCTGCTCAGAGATATTAACCAAACAATATTCTGCTCAGAGATATTAACCAAACAATATTCTGCTCAGAGATATTAACCAAACAATATTCTGCTCAGAGATATTAACCAAACAATATTCTGCTCAGAGATATTAACCAAACAATATTCTGCTCAGAGATATTAACCAAACAATATTCTGCTCAGAGATATTAACCAAACAATATTCTGCTCAGAGATATTAACCAANCAAGTAACCCTACAATTCAAGAACTTCACGAGAGTGTCCGTTAAACCAATTTTTAAAATCCGCTAGTTCAGAGAAATAACAATCGGTGATTAACAATTTTTAGATAGAAAAACTAGAATATCTTCACCATTTTCTCTAGAGCAATGTTTAAATTGGATACCGTTTTTATTCGGAAACCTTTACCTATGTAAAAATATGTCAAGAGTCCATTTAAACAATCCTTTTTTATTTTTAGAGGTTAAATCCTGATGTTTTAAAAATGTCAAAGTAAGAATGTTGCAAAACGTTATTAGACGCAAATTCTTATCATATAGAGCATACTATTTTAAAAATGATAAACATTCTACATTCTTAGAGGTTAATTTCAAGCAAACCTCCATGAAAAGATAGCATTAATGTCTGACATACAACGGTACCCTTCAAAGTTTTGTCTGATCAAGCATGAATTAGATGTGTGCATGTTTTAGTTTCTTTAAACGGTTTATTTTCGTTTGTTTATGAAGGAACGGGCATCGTTTACAAAAAAACGAATTGTTAAAACTAACGAAGTGTTAGTTTGAAGCTTTTAAGCGTTTTCTTGCCAAAACGATAGTTTTCATTTCAAAACGATCGTCTTCATTTCATAACTATGGTTTTTAAAACTATCGTTTTCCGGAACGCTCGTTTTTAAAAACTTACTTATAACCCTTTCAAAAACGATAGTTTTCAAAATGATCGTTTCGTTTCCAGATTTTATTTCACCGATAAAAAACGAAACGATCGTTTTTCGAAACATTCAAAACTGCATATCCCTATTAGTGAATGGGGAATTTATCAGAATTAAAAACATTTTGATTCAAGGAAACAATGGTATCTCCCACGAACATGTTTAATCAAATTATGGCTTCAATGAGTTTAAAGCCCAAAAATATCGTTGTAAATTAGTCATTGTCGTCTTTGCACGGAGAGTCACTTGAAATTAAAAGTACAATCCCTTTACATAAAGAGTACAGTTCTTTTAATTGTTAATTCTTTTTTAAAACAATGTATGATGCCCAATCCCTATACAAAGGTTTGATGAACTACTACTGGTTTCTCTATGGTGCTCTGGTAAAGCAAGGTATATGTACTCCAAATAGGTTCTCAAGTATTTGACAGCCTATTTGATCTACTCGACAATATTAAAATATTTTCTTTACATGTTATGCAATATAATTTACAATTTACAATTATACAAATAAGAAAGTCAATAATATAATATTTCCTTTATATTAAGCATTTACCATTTACAATTTACAATTCACAAATTATTTTAGTCAATATTAAAATATTGCCATTATTAACAATTTACAATTCACAAATTATTTTAGTCAGTATCAAAATATTGCCATTATTTACAATTTACAATTCACAAATTATTTTAGTCAATATTAAAATATTGCCATTATTTACAATTTACAATTCACAAATTATTTTAGTCAGTATCAAAATATTGCCATTATTTACAATTTACAATTGACAAATATTTTAGTCAATATTAAAATATTGCCATTATTTACAATTTGCAATTCACAAATTATTTTAGTCAATATTAAAATATTGCCATTATTTACAATTTACAATTTACAAATTAGATTAGTCAATATTAAAATATTGCCGTTATTTACAATTTATAATTTACAAATTAGATTAGTCCATATTAAAATATTGCCATTATTTACATTTTACAATTTACAAATAAGTTTAGTCAATATTAAAATATTGCCATTACACACTTAAGCATTTAAAATTTAAGATTTACAAATTAGATTAGTCAATATTAGAATATTGCCATTATACACTTCAGCATTTACAATTTAAGATTTACAAATTAGTTCAGTCAATGCGACATAAGAATGTTGTTGATGTTATATATGATTATTTATGTTGCAGGCTCCTCGATAGTGCCCTCTACCGATGTAATGCGAATATTATTTCTAACCTGGTGGATTTATATAACATTTTTAACAGCTGAGTATACTGCTCAGCTTACCGCTAACCTTACCAAAAACAACAGGTATACTACTTCTGCCATATTATCTACTAAAGATTAAGTGCCCGGGGTTGCGTTTATATGAACGAAGAGCTTTCGTGTCCAGTGTTGCCCACGGAATTTTAAAAACACGGTGAAAAATTAAATTCTGAATTTTTTTTAAAAATGTCGATTTTTTCCCAAAGGGGTTTGTCCAAAAAATAGCTTATTTGGTTTATCCGTTTGGCCAGCTAACTAACAAATTAAAAATATGATTTTACAAAAGAACTTCTTTTTTCTTGAAACTAAAAACAATTTCTTTAAAAATCTTTGAAGGGCTATACAATTAATTATAAGTTGATTAAATTATTATGAAGTTGATTAGATAAATTATAAAATGTTTATTAAAAACAAAAATATTTTTTTTTACTTTTAGCTAAAACTTTTTTACGTTTCAGAACACTACCTATTCACCATCTTCAAGATATGTCCTCTGATCCTAGCTTTAAGTGGGCAACCCCAGGCAATGGGTCCTTCCAAACTATGATAGGTATCCAAGCACGATAAACTAACGTAAATTGTACATACGTTTTGAATTTTTTATGTTTTTTTTTTAAACATAAAAAATTATTTATGTTTTATGTTTTTTTGAAGAATTGTTTAGAAGAACAAAATTGTTTTGATTTTCTGATATGTAACCGGATATAGAACCGGATATGGGACCGGATATAGAACCGGATATGGGACCGGATATAGAACCGGATATGGGACCGGATATAGAACCGGATATGGGACCGGATATAGAACCAGATATGGGACCGGATATAGAACCGGATATATAACCGGATATAGAACCGGATATAGAACCGGATATAGGACCGGATATAGAACCGGATATAGAACCGGATATAGGACCGGATATAGAACCGGATATGGGACCAGATATAGAACCGGATAACTTTGGTGAAATTATACTTGTGTAAAATTAAAAATGGAGGAGTTACGAGGCCACAAATTCTTACAAGTCGTAATGTCACATAAATTTTGTGTATCACATTTTAAAGGTTTAAATGCAAAACCGGAATTTTTTTACTGATATATAACTGTCTCACTTAACAGGTCTGAAAAGAACGTTTAATGAGAATTGCTTAAATTTGGGAATATTGGAAATCTTATGATTCCAACAAACTCCGGCGTTTAAATCAAACAATACAGTGTAGCCCAATAAACATTTTTGAAAATAAAAAGCGTATGTGCGTCTAAAATTAACAAATAATGAGGCCGAATTTAAAGAAATAGAGCGACGGCTTACATTACATCTGAATGTTGCGTGTAACTAAAACTATTAAAAGGTCGTCACTTATTGGCCATTATCTTCTTGATATCCAAGATATTTTTTTCTATTAAATATTTTTGATGATTAGATAGTTGGCCTGATTTTGTAAATTTGAAAAATGATATTATATCTGGCAAAGGGAGATACATTGGTTCAGCGGTAAGTAATATTTTTCAGGGACTGTTTGTGAAAATGAAAATAACAGAAAACAGAATTATTTTCATTTTTAAATGCCAAAAAAAGGATTTTTGTAAATGTTGACTTTTAAACTGAATTGGATCATATTTTGAGACCAATGCAGTACTCTATTTATTCATTAAACGAGACAAAAAAAATAAACCCAAGATTTTTTAGGTTAACTATGAAAATGAAAAACTCTGGTTTTTAAAGAAAAATATATTACATGTTTTCCTTCAAATGGAACAACAAAGAAATATTGATACCATACGAGACAGGCCCCTAGCTAGGAATTTGTAAAGGGGGTACAAATTAAAGAAATCCCAGAGATAGGTAAACCCCTATTATTCCTGCTAGGGGGAGGGAGAAATTTGACCCCCCCCCCCCCCCCC